GGTTAGAGGTGAGGGTAGCGAGAGGGCGAGAAGCCAGAGTGGAAGCCTTGCAGATGGCTCCTACGGGGCCAGGTATACGTGCAGGGGAGGATGTTGTCCCCCGGGTGCTGCAGGCTGCGCTTTGGACCCCAAGCGGGGTTTCTGTGAGGCTCTTGGTTCTTACACCCTGAACCGCACTCGGGTAGACAGATCTTCTTAGCCACTTTGCAGAGTCTGCATTTGGACCGCTAAGCGGAAGACGCCCCCTGGCTGGGTCGCTGAGCCGCGGGAAGTGGACGACCCGAAGAAATGGGGCAAAATGGAATCGTGAAGGGCAGGGTCGCGCCCAGCAGAAGCTCGGGCCCCACGGGGGCTCTCAAGGGGAGTTCAGATGCCCCGCGGGCGCAAAGGATGAAAGCAGCAGCGCGTGGCCCTTCCCCAGGCGGCCGGAAAACGCGAGGCCTCGTCGAAGCTCTGGAAGGAAGCCGTCTGCACACCCCGCCCCCCGCCCGCCGCAAGCCTCCGACCCTGGTCCCCATCTCCCAGGCCCCAGCTGGCCCAGCGTTCCGCCGCGGAAGGGAAAGCAGATCCCACTGATCTTTTGGCCTGCTCCTCTTTCTCCCAACTCTACCTCCAGCCTCTCACACAAGGAGAGCGCACTCAGTGGGGTTCTCACCGCGTGGCCTCTGGCTCTGCAGTGCCGGGAGCCTGTTGAGGGGGCGTCGCGGCTCAGAATGAGCGCCCGGTGGCGGGGGGGCAGTTTATATCTGTCTCGCTGTTGTTTGATGTACACACACCCGCTCTATTTACTACCAAATAAAAGAAATACATCTGTGTTGCCAACAGAAACAGTTCGGGTGCTGACTCTGTGGTCTCCCAGGGTCCAGAGGCCTCCGGGGTGCTCCCAGCGCAGAGCCTGGCACTGTAAGGAGGCGGACACTGAGTAGGATCTCAGCCTACAAGAGCATGGGGGGCTGCGGTGGGATGGTGGCAAGTTCGGCCAGTTTATCCCAGGTGGCTTGTGAGGAGGGATTTCCAAGTATCCTGGTCCCGAGGATGTCCATTCAGGCTTCCTGCAGTAGAGGTGGGAGCGCCACCTTGCTCTCTCCCCAGTCCTTTCCCAGGATTCTTCTCAGCTTGCCTTAGCCTGGGGCCATCGGAGAAAAGGGTCACTTCGAACCAGGTGTGTGTGACTATGTCTGTGCCTTAGCAATGGCATTGATGCTAAACACATTTGTGATCGGGTTTGCTAGGAATCCATGGAAATAGTGTCTGTTAGGAGGTCTACTCTGTGTGTGTGTGTGTGTGTGTGTGTGTGTGTGTGGTGAGTGTTGATATCAAATGTGGGTGTATACTGTGTGTTTACATGTGTGTCTCTTTGGGTGGTGCAGAAATGATTTAGCCTGGAAGCTGAAGTCATTTGCATTGCTTTGAAGATGAATTGGGATGCAGATGGGGAAGAATCTGAAGCTAGGGTAGTCAGAGAGAAGGCTGGGCTCCGCAGTCTGAAGGAGGGGTGAAAAGACAAAATTGGGAGTGCCAGTTCAGTGTCCTAGGAGAGAGGACAAGGGATGCCCTGTCTTCCCCTAGGGAATGTCCAGGAGGAATTTTGTGTGGGCACCTTCACTTTTCCAAAAAATGGCCCCTTTTTTGGGAAAGCAGTTCTTTACAGAGGCAGCAGGGAGGGGGGCATTCTGGGTGGGGCGGAAAAGACACACAGCTCTGGTGCTGTGGCAGCCCCACTAAGTGGTTTCTTGGCTTCTCCTGGCTTGAACGCTACAGAAAAACTTGGAGTTGAGCTTAGGATGCTTTGTGTAGAGTGGCTTCTGTGCTCCACAGCCCCATACTTTAGCTCAACCTCCTCTCTTGCCCTGGGATAAATGCCATGACCCCTGACAGGAGGGAATCGACATTTCCCACAGGGGCCAGCTTCTAGGCTCACACAGCCCTCAGTCCCCAGGCCAAGTCGGCACCACCTCTCTCCCCCAGGGCAAGCTTCACTGTTTGGGGGAGGAGTGCTCTGGGGTCCAGGGCGGTGGGGCTCCCCACCAGGAGAGAAAGGGAGGCTGTAGGGAGCAGGACAAAGGATAAACTGTGCTTGTGGAGAACCAGTTATTTCCCGACTTTGTAAAGACCTGGTCAGTCAAGAACCGTTTTCTAGAATCCATACACAAATAAAGAAGTATTTTCTTGGCATTCGATAACATCATGTTCTGGCTGTAAAATCTGAGAACGTGTTTGCTATTGCAACATTATTTTTAATGAGCTGTTATTGGCCTGTCCTGCGGTTGATATTGCCAACAGTAAAAGGCATCACCATGTTTGTAGGTAACACAATGAACAACATATTTTGACCCGAATTTCTGTTTATTTTTCATTTATGACACATGCCCTCGTTTTTATTCCAAACCAGAGGGAAATAAAGAGAGATCTATCTTCACTGGGGTCCAGGCTAAAATTTTGCCATAAATACGCATGTCGGTTTATTTGGAGGGCAGTTTTCCATTAACAGGAAACTATACTGGACGTTTCAGCCACAGTAGAATCAATTGTGTCGATTGAATTTGAGGAGCCTAGCAACGCACTGCGAGGGGAGAGGGAGCGTGCAGGCGCTCCCCAGCGGTCGCGCCCTATGGCTGCTCTCTGGAATCCCTTCAGCTTCCCGGTTCCTCATCTCCCCCTTTCGGCTCCCCAGCTTCACAGCTGCCCCGCAGGGAGCTCAGACCCTCCGCTTAAAGGTAGGTGGCCACACCCGGTCAACGAGGGTTCTCCCAATCACCTGCTTCTGTCTGGCGGACCCACCCTTCCAGGAGGTCCCCGGCTCGCTGTGCCTCCTCCGAAGGCTGCCCACCAAGAGCGCCGTGGCCTGGCTCCCAGCAGCGCGCGGATGCGGTGAGCGCTACGTTTCCCGGTGTCCGCCAGGACAGGGACCGGGATCTAGAGATGCCGCCCTGGAGGTGTTGGGCGCTAGGGGACAGAGAAAGGCCTGGCACGGAAGAGACAAGGTCTTCTCTGCTGCAGCTGCCATAGCTGGGTAACCTCTGTTCCCTGGCACTTGGCACATCAGGACGGCGCCTATGCCTGAGCCACCCCGGGAGTCTCAGCTCCCGCAAGCCCTGTGGAAGTCCCCCTCTCCTGGAAGTGGGGGCCGCAGTCCTGAGAGCTGGCTGTCCACGGGGCTGTCCTCTCGTGGTCCTGCCTTTCCTAGCCTGACTTGGCAATCGGCCTTCGGCTGCAGCTGAACTCTGAACTCACTCCCTTCTTCCCTCCAACCAGAGCCCATCAAAGTTAACCAGTTGACCAGTGCTCAGGGATGCCCTGCCCAGAAGCTCTTGGCTCCCGAAAAAACCCAGGTTTAAGAACAGAACGCGAGGCTGCACCTCAGTGTTGGGAAATACCAGCTGTCAGGTATTTCGCCTAGCGCGGCTGTCGCTTTGCTCAATTTCGCAAACTAGATAAGCCTAGGTCCTCGCCCCTTCCGCCCAGCATTCTTCAGTGCTCTCTGGGCATTTCAAGCTGCGGAAGGTACAGGGGAGAGAGTGCCTCTGGTCGCGAACAAAGCCGCCTCTGTCTCCGCCGCCTCCAGGATTACAGGGATGTGCGTCCAGGTCGCACTTAGGGAGCAGCAGAGCCAGTCAGCGAGCAAGACAGAAAAGAGTTTTGGAGACACTTGCTCTGGGGGAAATCGTCCAAACTTACACACTCTGGCAACAAGAAAAGCTTTTCTTGTCTTTTTAATTAATTCAATGTCACGACAACATTAGTGTAACAATATTTTGTGGGTTTTTTTTTCTCTTTTTCTTAAAAAGGGACTCAACCCAGGCAGAGGTGAGGGAGATGAGTGGAAACAAAGTATCGCAGAACAACAGGTGTAGCCGACAGAAAGAAAACAGATTGGATGACAGAGCCAGGAGCCCCGTAGAGGGTGAACTTTACAAGAAATCTGTACATTTATCAAATAAGTTAAAATTCTTCTAAATTGATTGTCCTTCACTTAAAGCGCTCCAGTATGCCTAACTTACTCCTTTGAGCATCGTTACCTAAGCTTGTTTCCTTCTTCCCCCCTTTCCCCTGCCTAATTTTTTCTTTCTAAATGAATGACCATGATGATACAGTGAAAAGTCCTGTTTCCCTCGGTGGAGGAGGAAACAGCTTTCTCAGAAAATTTTGTACAATATTGCACAGGTCAAAGTACAACAGTTACTACAGAATATGAAAGGTAAGAGGGGAGGATAAAAGATACCACATTAAAAATACTGAAATTACTCTCTCAAAACAGGGAACAAAGTAATAATAGTAATATTAATAATTTACCAAATGAAATTTCCAAAATAAATGCTACTAATAAATAAGATCACTCAGACCAGGCCAGATGTAGGGCTGTTTCAATAGAGTTCTGATTTTTGGCTGTCTTTTCCCTTTAAACACTTAAGAGAATTCTTCCATCACAAAGTAAGACCGAGGAAGAGGCTCATTGAGACAGACCTCTCCAGAAGAGAAAAGCGGCCCGAGTCGGAATTCTTGTGAGAGGCTGCTCAGATTCTGAAAATTAAGGTGGATAACTGACTTGGGGGTGGGGAGGAAGAAACACACCCAGAAATCCAGAAATAAACTTACTACCATATGAATTTTCTCTCTCTCTCTCTCTCTCTCTCTCTCTCTCTCTCTCTCTGGATTCTGAAACCAGTTCTATAGAAAATGAATAGGCTAGGCCGGGCGCGGTGGCTCACGCCTGTAATCCCAGCACTTTGGGGGGCCGAGGCTGGCGGATCAGGAGGTCAGAAGCTGGAGACCATCCTGGCCAACTTGGTGAAAGCCCATCTCTGCTAAAAATACAAAAATTAGCTGGGGGTGGTGGCGCGTGCCTGTAATCCCAGCTACTCGGGAGGCTGAGGCAGAATTGCTTGAACCCGGAAGGCGGAGGTTGTAGTGAGCCGAGATCGCGCCACTGCACTCCAGCCTGGGCGACAGAGCCAGACTCCGCCTAGGAAAATAATAATTAATAATAAACTAGAGGGATTCCGGTTTTGCACTTATTTACCTTCTATAAAAATAAAAACAAAAAGCCACAGCGCAATGGAAATTTGAAGGGGAGGGCTGCACATTTTACAAAAAGTTTCGGTCTAAATATTTGCCCCAGAAATTTTGTCTCGCTCCTGCTTTCTCTTACCATAAGCCAAAACCAAAAGTAAGAGGGGAAGCGCCTCCAATCCATTAGGGATGAATTGCACGAAAATGCATTGCAAATACTTACAAAACGCTACCGACTGGGGGAGGGGAGGCCGAGGCTGCGCGCCGAAGCCTGGGCTCCTGAAGACCGCTGGACATCTAGGCGCCCTCGGCCCGGCCCATTCTCCTCCGGGGTCCGGAAGAGGAGGCCGGGCGCTCCCTCCCCCACCCCTCTGGGGCTTCAGACCGGCCGTAGCAGCGGCACGGAAGAGACCACCGGGTGCGAGTAGTAGACGGGGTGCGGGAAGGTGAGCAGCGGCTGGCTGACAGGCACCGGGGCCCCAGCGGCTGCAGCCGCAGCTCCCTCGGCCGCCGAGTTCTCGTGGTAGAGGATGGGCACCCGCACGATGCGCTGCGCCGCGGCGTGGCTCAGGTTTGCTGCCTCCAGCTCCGCCGCCAGCTGCCGCTTCCACTTGTTGCGGCGGTTCTGGAACCAGATCTTGACCTGCGTCTCAGTGAGGTGCAGCGACGCGGCCAGGCCGGCGCGCTCCGAGCTGCTCAGGTAGCGCTTCATGTCGAAGGTGGACTCCAGCTGGAAGACCTGACTGCGGGAGAAGACGGTGCGCGTCTTCTTCTTGCGGCACGCCGGCTTCTTCTCCGGACTCTCGGTGCCCTTCTTCCAGTCCTCTGCGCCCGGAGTCGCCACCGCCGCCGCCGCCCCTGCGCCCGCCCCGGCCGCGCCTGGCGCCGCTTCGCCTTCCTTCTTGCTTTCCTCGGAGTCGCTCTCCTCCAGAATGATCTCGTCCGGGCTCTTGGAGTCCAGCTCCTTGGGGTCGGGGTCGGCCTTGAGCAGTGGCTCCGGAGAGTCGCGGTCTGTGCCCGAGGCAGGGGAGGAGTCTCGCAGGAGGGCCTTCTCCGAGGCTGGGGAGACAGACAGACGGACTCACATACATGCACACCGACACAGCCTTGAGCGAGGCCCGGAGCCTGTGGACCGCAAGCTCAAACCCGCGCCGGCCTCCAGGTCCCGGGCTGCGAGGCTTCACCATTCCCGCGGGCCACCTCCTTCCTGGCTGGGCCAGAGAAGGGACGCCAGGTCTTGGGATCCCCCGCCTCCCGAGGACAGGCGTGCAGAGATGGCAGCGCGGCCACCTCCTTCCATTCCCTCAGCTTCCCTGCCAGGGGCCCACGGAAGGGTTTGCTTTCAGCTTAGGCGCATTGGAATCACCCCCTCCTTCCAGGCCCTGTCCCCTGCCCCGGCCGTCCGAAGCCTCCCTATTCACGCCTGAGGCCACTTTTCCCAGGAAGCGCGGTGCCCCAAGCTCCAATTCCACTTCTTTTCTCACCAAGTGGGATTGGATTCGCGGGCGGCCAGAGGGCCGAAAGAAACTGACCAAACAGAGGGTTTGCGGGTGCTGGGATCCCAGAGCTGCGGAGGGAAGCAGCGCCGGGCGGGGACGGGACGGGCGCGCAGGGGGACAACGAAAGTTCAAAGAGAGGTCAGTACCTTCAGGTCGCGGGAGGTGACCGCCGGCGGGGGTCAGGGTGTAGGGGTACCACCAGGCTGGGGAGCGCTCCAGGTAGTGCGCGGGCAGGGCAAACCTCTGCGCCGGGATCTCAAAGCGGGGGAAAGCCAGGTCGCCCACCTGCGAGAGCGCGAAGCCCGCGGCTCCCTCCAGGGCCCCCTTGGCCGCTGCGGCGGCTGCAGCAGCAGCGGCAGCGGCAGCCGAGGCCGGTGCAAAGAGCGTCCGTGGGGGCGGCTGCGGCTTAGGGGGAGGCCGGTGGTGGTCTCCGTTGAGCAGGTTCTTGATGGAGAACGGGGACTCCTTGGGAGCGGGTGGTGGGGGCGGCGGCGGAGGGGGCTGTGCGCTGGCGGTGCCTGGAGCGTCCGGTCCGGGTTCCGGCATGGTCCCCTCTCCTCCGGGTCCCCGGGAGGGAGGGAGTGGGACAGGCGGGCGGCGGGACGAGCAGGCGAGAGGCCGGAAATCAGACCATAAACGAAACTCAACTACCGGGCGCAAAGTCGTGGGCCGCCCCGGGCGCAAATCCAGCGGCGGGAGGGCGGGGTGAGGACCCAGTAGGGGAGGGCTCGCATGGGGGAGGGGTGCAGAGGGGCGGGGAGCGGCCCAGCCGCGGCACAGAGGGATCCAGGCGGCTCGGCTGCGGCTGCGGCTCCCGCGGAGGAGGCAGCAAGAGCAGTCCCCGGCTCCAGGCTGCGTCAATCCGGCGCCGGATGCTAATGATGAAATCAAAATGTCATCCAAGTTAAATGCGGGGAGTATACGGCGATTGGGCGCGTACAATGGCAAATGGGATTAGGCAGGCGAAGGCTCAGCCGAGCCCCGGCCCCGCAGCCGCCTCCGCCACCGCCCCCTCCTCGTCTTCCCTCGGATTTTGGCGCTTTGGCTTCGGGCTATAAGAGCCCGCCTGTTATTGGCTTTATATAGTCCAATTAGGCAGCAAATGAGGACAAGCCTATTAGCACAAAAGGATATTGGCTCTCGCTAAAGAGGCACTCGGAGCGCTCCTGCCAGAGCAGGAGGCTAGCGAGGAACACGGAGCAGGCGGCGCCCCTGGCCGAAGCGCACTGACAGCCGCGAGCCGAGAGCCCGCGCCTGCCTCTCCCCCCTGCGGCGCAGGGACCCGCTTCCCGCCGCCAGGCCTGCGGGAGGGGGAAGGGGCGGGCCAGGCCCTCCCGGGTCACCTCGGGGTTATCTACGTTAGCAGCTGCAGCTCCTCCGCCTCCTGGGACTGGACAGGGGCCCGCCGCCCCCAAGCGGCTGGAGAGCCACGCAGCGCGGGCCCAAGAGGCAGGACGCGACCTCGGCCCGCAGCGAACTCATCACTTTCCTACCCTTTGGGGTCCGGCGACCTCAGCATTTTTCCTTAAGCCTGCTAGGAAGGGCGCGGCCAAGAAGACGGGGATTTGGGTTCCCCACCCATCGTCCAGCCGATAGTAAGGGAATCGGGGTGTAAGTCCTCACACTGCGTGTTCGAGCTCAGAAATACGCGTGGCCTTGGCCTTTGGCCCTGGAAAACTGAAGAGCGAGGCTTCCCCGGGAGCAGGAGTGGGTGTGCGTCTGTGCGTATGCGCGCTGATCCGGCCAAAACCCGGGCTTCACTCGGTGGGGCTGCTGAGGCAACAGCTTCTCGGCACCGACGGCTGCACTAGGAAGGACATTCCTCTGCTCTGGCCGCCGGTGCCCAAGGCCCGCAGATCAGCTCCGAGTCTGTGACCCCGAAGACAGCACCTTCTCCCAGGAAGTCTCTCCGGCCGGCCGGCGTTTGGAGCTGCCTAACTAACGCTTTAATAGGGGCAAGGTGAACCGAAGGCTCAGCGGCGTAACTTCCTCGGCCGCGGCAGGCAGCCGCACCCGCTGCGCGTCTCGACGGCAGCCGAGCCCCTTATAGAACCACACTGGACCTTTGTAAACGGCTTAGGGAGAGGTCACTCCACTCCATTGGTTTTAGAAACAGCTCCCCGGTTCGCACGAGAAGCCCATGAGGCAGACATTTAAGACTCTAGATGTAAGCATCAACTAAATCAGAATTGTTTGTGGGGTCCCCTCCTGAGAGACAGCTTTCTGATCAGAGAAAGGTGACAAAGTGGCCTCACCCTCTTCCAACTGGGTGAAACTGCCGCACATGAGGGCTTTTGGGGATCCCTTCACCTCCACACCGCTTTCTTTTTTGTTAGATTGAGCCCCACCTAATTCAAGGCCGCCCTGCCTTGGCAGACGCGACCGTGTGGGGTCCCCACTTGAGACGCAGATTTTGTTTTTCGGTCCTGGGGCGTGAAACCCTCCCTACCAAATCTCGACGGACGTCTGTAATGTTTGTTTCCGCATTCATCTATAGCAGCGAACCCCATTTTTGCTTTGGAAATCTGGAAACGTAAATGGCCCTTCCATAAACAATGACTATTAATACTCTCTTGAGTTTACACAGGGCTTTATCGGAATGCAAAACACTACACCATCCAAAACTCTGGGTTATAACGGATCACTGCCCTGAGACCCCAGCAGGGCGAGTCTCACGCTTGGATTTTAAAGGTGGAAACCGCGCCCAGAGAAGAAGAAACTGGGCCTAGGTCACCCAACCGCTACTGGATACCCAGAGGTCATTTTCTCCCTAACCGCAGAAATAGTTCGATGCACGTAGGTCTATGAGGGTTGGGTGGGCACCACCTGCACACAGGTGGCCGAGTACGCATGGAGAGACTCCTGCGTGTGTGCACGTGTGTTGTGGGAGCTCCGCTATCCAGGGCAGACGCACGCAAACTTGGGTAGAGTTCCGACGCATGAAAGTCGCCTTTAAACTGGAAAAGCTTGTCAGCTCCCCTGAAATAGAACGGCCCTGGCAGAGGTCGCCGAAAATGCTGAGGGTTCTGTCTGGGGAGGAGGACTCGTGGCTGATCAGAACTCCAGGGCTAGACCCAAATGGGGAGGGGACAGTCCCAGTCTGGCAAGAGAAGAGTCCTGGACAGCCGGCCCCGTCCCTGCTGTGCGGCTACCCGATCCTGGCTTTCCAGTTGTCGCCCCAAGTTCACCCGTTAACTCCCCTCCCAGGGGAGCGCAGGGGCGGTGTTGTGTGCTTGTATGCTTGGCCAGGGAGAGGAGCTTTTCCAGTGTCCGCACTCTCAGCTCATCCTCTGAGTTTTAGGGATTGCTTGGCTTGAACAGCAGCATACACTGAGTAGATCTTTCCCTTCCCCTTCGAGAAAGCTGGTGGGAGTCGGGTCTGGGCACCGGCTCAGCCCTTCACTCGCCCTCTGGCGAGGGGTGTTGCCTGCGTTCCTGCGCTTAAGACTCCATTAAAAGTCAGGCAGACAGCGCCCTCTATGGGACAGCCTGTGAACCACGCCTGAGGGCTCCGCTGGAGAAACCACCGTCCCGGCGCAGGTCCTTTAAAAGCCGCTGAGGTCTCGCCCTTCGCGGTCGCAGTTAGAGAACAAAAGCAGCTTTTCTCTGGATCCCCGGAGAAGCAGTGGGTGAAATCGCCTTCAGATCTCTGCTGATCTTTACCTGGCCACGACAGGAGGTGGTCTCACCTGCCTGTCATCCTCCGTCCCGCTTTTCCTGCCTCTGTTTTAGGGCCCATTATTCTGTGGTCCCCGTTTCGTTCTATCCTTTAGGTACCGATCCCAACTAACCTCAGGCTAGGTGTCCTCCAGGAAGGACGCGGGGAGGGGATGGGCCTGCCTCATTCGTCTTCGCAGGACTCAGCGCCGTCGGCCAACCAGCGGGTGCTCAGGACCCGCTTGTGTTAATGCCTGAATGCCTGAGTCAGACGGATGGATGGATGGATGGATGGATGGATGGATGGATGGATGGATGAATTCACAGTTCCCTTACAGAGAATTGGCCCACTTGATTAGGGACCTTCAGATAGCCTGGTCATACCCAAAAACTGTTTTTAAAAAGTTTAATGAAAAATCTTAGATTCTTTTGATGCTGCTGCATTTTACAAAACCTAAGGGAGCTCAAGGAATGGGACCTTTGGGGGACCTTTCCCAGTCTAATCCCAGACAGATGGGCCGTGAGAGCTGGGTATCTACACCACCCACCCTTGGGACAAGGAGCCAAGAGGGCAGAGGGAGCCTGGAGAATGCCAGTGGTTAACACCCAACTTTTACACAAAAGCATGAAGCCTGATACAGGAGTGCTTGGCATGGCGTCATCCCTTGCCCCAAGCCCGCCACACACACACACACAAAGCACATACACATTTGTGCACACACACGTCAGTAAGTAAGGCGCTTCCCAAAGGAGGGGAGCATTTCCATGCTTTCTAGTACTTCACCTAAAAGAAGGCTGCTTCCTTCCCTCCATAGCCAAACTGCAGTCCTCCTTGGAGCAGCTTCCTGGCACAGCCCACCTCCTTATCCGTGGTGGGGGCAGTGACTGCTCAGGCTTCTATCCAAAGCTGCAAAGCTCCCAGGCTGGAGGCCCTCACAATTAACAGAGTTTGCCCTTGTTCTGATGGCCTCATTTTCCCACCCACCTCTTCTGACCTGCAGGTCCTTGCTTTGAAGGCAGAATGCACAAAAGCCTGGAATTGTGATCCTGGGGAAACTGTGCTACCTAGACATACTACACAAGCTCTTTACTGGAACTTTCCTGGAAAGTTCTCTCCCATCTTTCTTGATGCCACCAGGAATACTGCCAATGAAGTCTCCCTCTGGCTAATGACTGACTCCGAGAAGATACACAGCCCTAGGAGACAGGTCATAGCCAAGCTGTGCTTGATCATATGTTTCCTGAATTACATACAATGTCCTTCCAGTGGCTGAATGTCTAACCCTTTCCTCACAGTGAGGGTAACAGTTATATAGACATAATATCAGCTCACGGTCATTGAGTTCTCATTATAAGCCAGGCACTATAACTTGGTGAGGTAGGTACTATTATTATTTCTGATTGACAGATGAGGAAACTGAGGTCCTGAGTATGACAAGGAAGAGCTGGAGAGAGTACCGAAATATTTACCCTCATAGGTTTATTACAAGCACAAGGCTGATGTATGGTAAGTACTACTAGCTATGGTGCTGTTATTCCTTATTCATTCATTCTTCAGGATGAACCCACAGGCCTAAGTCTGTTCTTGCGTGGTTGCCTTGAGAAAGCTAACACAGATCTGCAATGGAGAGATGCCCCAAGAGTTGCTTCCTTGCTTCAAGGAGGCCTTACTCTACTATCCAGAAGTGAGCCAGCTCTTCTACATCCCCCTTTCTCTTCCTGGTTCTGTTGTCTCCTTTGAAATTTCTTCTCACCGTAAGGCACAGGGGCTCACATCTGTAATCCCAGCACTCCAGGGAGCTGAAGTGGGAGGGCCTTGCTTGAAGCTGGGAGTTTGAGACCAACCTGAACAACACTGTGAGACCCTGTCTCTACAAAAAAATTTTTAAAACGTGTTTCTCCCCGAACCAAGAATCTTTCAAGTACAATTCTTTGA